ATCGTATAATAATATAATCGAGTTCTTTTAATGTTCGAATATTGGGATTTTGTGGCTATAATTATATATATATATATATATATATTATAGCGTATAACAATCTAATCGAGTTTTATTGGTAGTCGAATATTGGGATTTTGTGGCTTGGACAAATCCGGCATATATCATGCCAGCATTTTAAAAAGGTGCGAATGCGGCCCTAGATCTGATGGTGTTGTGCCTGAGAGGTTCCATGCACCCGAAACGACGTATTTTTTATGTATCCTGGCGCAATCCATGTTTGTTACTGACATGTGCCTACTCACACCACACAGTGCGAGACTGCTGCCCTGTGACGTTCGGGGCGGACAAACCGGTATCGAATGCGGCCAATCCAACTGTAAGCAACCCTCAAACAAGTGCAACGGCTGGGAATGCTGCCAGTACTAACCTGCCCACTGAGGTAGATACCGATATTAAGCTGTCACGTACAGCGAGTGTCCTGTCAGTTTTCCCTGGCGGCACAACAGCACCGGGGCCTGTTGTAGGGGAGAATGCTGACAACAAACAGGAGGTTCGTGTGTGTGCTATTGTATCGCTGCTACTACGTGGTACACGACAGGTCGTAAGAATCGCATTGGTATAGTTGTAGAGGGACACTACTCTAACCTCATCACTGAACACCATGTGTGTTGGATATAGTAGAGACCCTTCGATTCTTTGCCGAGTTCGTATTGTACACTTTCGTTTGGTGCAATCATATACTCTATCTCTACAATACCATATACATTGTATGACCCATTCACCTGTCAGGATACCTTGGTGTACACCACTTGCTAGTATTGCTATAGGGAATAATGTGCAAGCCTTTTTGCGGCATACACACTCACTTCTCTGACCAAGAATACATTTTATTCCATACAATCGTCCTTTAGGATAAATTTGTACCGCCTCGGGTAAAGATCCCACCTTCGTCTACTCTGGTAGGATCAATGGTGCATCCTAGTCCACTATCGGCAACCGGCCTGACGCCCAGGCAATTTTCGGGGTCTGCAATAGCGGCAACTGCGCCCCGGGTGAGTGGGCGTGTGGGAATATTACGTACATATTACGAACATGAGTCATTGAGTCATAGACTGATGTATCATTTGTTTATGTGTGTTCGTGAAGAACCATTAGTTAATTCGGCACAAACTCTTAATATCCCACCCTCAATTAAACCTTAATCTTATTCATGCGTTTGTATTCTCTCGAATTGCGACTAAGTAATCGGAGTTAGCTCTAATCGATTCGTAGTTAGTCCAAGACCACTATCCGTAACCGGGACCTTATGTAGGCTCTGTCATTGGCCAGCAACATAACAATACTAAACTCTGGGCATTGTGCGTATATACATATCCACACACACACACACACACAC